GGACCCAACACACACGTATTATCAATACAGTCGAGATAAAAGACGCACAAAACAACACTCATACTTACTTTATGCAATGCATGTGATCTATTCTGTCCTGTTGTCTTTACGCCATTTAAAAAATGGTAGTAGTTGCAGACTACAAAGTTGATTTCATGACCCGCTACTGGGACATGATTTGTAATCTGACATTTGTAATACTGGCTTAGATGAGGGCAAGACTGGAGGGAGGAAACCTGTTAGGAGATGATGATGGCCTGACCTAGGCTGGAGCCAGAGGGGTGGAGAGAAGAGCCTGGGGGCCCAGGACTGGGGAGGCGGAGTTGTCAGGAGGGGACAGACAGTGTCGGAGGTGACAGAGCGCTGAGGTTGGCCCAGGTCTCTGCTCAGCTGTTGGGTACATGTGAGGTTGCTGCCGAGTGGAAAGCTGGGGCAGGTAGGAGGTGTCACAGATCGTGGACATCTGAGGGGCCTGGAGGACCTCCAAGAGGAGGCAGCCTCAGGCGGCTGCATACATGAGTTGAGCTCAGGAGAAGGATCTGAGCAAGGGAGAGACACAGCCCTCAGTGGCAAGGTGTCTGGGGTTCTAGCAGGCCGGCCTCTGAAGCCAGCAGACCCCTCCCTTCCTGTCACACGGGGCCAGGACCTGTGCATTCATGAGACCGCGGCCTTGGTCTAGGCCTCCTGGTGGAGGGGGCCGGGGGGAGGTGAGCAGAGAAGAAACAGACATGACCTGTCCTCGTGGGCCTTCCTTTCTCCGGACAGAAACACGCCAGGTCGGGTGCCACTGGATCACTTGCTCTGCTCGCAATCTTTCCAGGACTCAGGAGAAAGCTGGGGTTCCTGCAGATGGGGAACCACACCCTTCTGTGTCTGCGAGGAGGGAAGTCAGGGGCAAAGGACACCACATTTGGCGAAATGATGATGAATGTTTGAAACCATTCCAAGATAAAAAGTAAAGAAAGGAGGCCCCATTCCCACTCGCAGCTAGGCTGTGTCTAATGTGATCAGCCAAGAGCGGAGGAAAACCCTGCTCGCTTGGAAATATACTGCTCTGTCCGCAGCTGGTCTTCTCCAGAAGGCCAAGGACGAGGCCGGCACTTCGAGCTCCATGTGAAGCAGGACAGTGTGAACAGAGTGGCCGGGGGACCTCACAGAGCAACAGACCCCGGAGGCGCTTAGAGGCACATGCAGCCTAAGACCCCCAGCACCAGGTCCCCCTCTGGCTGGAAGGCACGTGGACTCCACACGGCGGACTGTGCGCCCGCTTCCCAGGACCTTTCCAACAGCACACCCCACGGTCACTCGCTCCTGGAGGCCGTGTCCATTCGAGTCCTCAGTCTCATTTGCCAGTGGTGCCGGCGCACAGTGGGCGTTGAATCCGTCCATCCTCCTCCTCAGTAACATTTCTTGAGTGCTTAGCGCTTCCCCAACACTGGTCCAGGCACTTTAGCCTGTATTAACTCATCTAATCCTCCTCACCTGGGTGCAGGTGGAGACTCCCATAACTCCATTTGCTCATGCAGAAGCCAAGGCACAGAAAGGCTGCATAACTTGCCCAAGGCTGTACAGCAATGGGGGCAGAGCCAGGATTTGTACCATCACAGTTTGGCCCCAGAACCTGTCCCCGCTGTTCACCACTCCCCCACATTGTAAGTGACTGAGCTGCAGGCCACATGAGTTGTCTTTTCATTTAAAAGGAATGAAAATGTCCGCAGGCCTGTGGGGCCCGCCTCAGGAGGTTTTGCTTTCATGCCGTGTGTGTGGTACGCCCACGACCTGGTGAGGGGCAGCACACATTCTCCTCTCCAAAAACACAGCAGTGGGTCCCCTCTGCGACCGAGAGACTGCTCTGAGGAGACCCCAAGTGTGACAGGGCTCAGCGGGTGTGGAAGCACTGTTGGCAAAGGCAAAGGTGTCCCCAGCTGACGTGGTGGAGCCCCGTGGCCACAGCCCGGACCGTGGAGAGGGCCATCCTCTGCTCAGAGCTGGCGCCAGGAAGCTGGAGTTGCCGCAAGCGCACCAGCGCCTGGAGACAAGAGCGCCTCTCCCTTGAGAGCTGCTGGCGGTTTTCCACGCACCTTCTCACACCAGTTTTCGGGAGGGTCAGCGAGGCGGCAGGGCTCTCATGGCCCCCGGGGCGCGCTCAGGAAGGGGACGTGGCCTGTCCACGATGGGGCTTGGCAGCCCCAGGGACACGTCCTGTGGTCGGCACCAGCCTGCTGCTTCTCTGACCACAGCCCTGGCAGCCTTCCCAGGAGATTACACTCTCCCCGGCTGGAGCCTTTCTAACCAGCTGGGTGATGTTTCCACCGCACTGACAAGACCACAGGACCTTGCCTGTATGGGTGTGAGAATTATGAGCAGAGCCTTGCCTTGGGGATTGGCTAATGGGTGTGGGGAACCACTGTCTTCTGTAAGCCCCCAACCTGAGAGGGAGAAGGAGGAGGCTGTCCATGACCCTCAGGCTATGACTAGCTCAGCCCTGTGCCCAGCACTCAGAGCTGCGACACCAGGTGGGCGGGCATGCGAGAGGAGTGACCAGCAGTAGTACCGGTCCATCCTTGCTGCCCAAACTGTGGTCCCTGGACCAGCAGCACCAGCATCCCCTGGGGCTTGCTGGAAATGCTGCATCTCAGGCGCCTGGGAGACCTGCTGCATCAGAACCTGCATTCCAGCTGGATCCCCGGGGCTCTGTGTGCACATGGAGTGTGAAAAGTACCGGTGCACACGACCTCCTGCGAGCATCTTACTCACTATCTTGTTTGATTGCCCCTTGCAGACCCAGGCAAGGATTTCTTCTGGGGTCCCTCCCTCCTTGCATTCTGATCCTCTCCTAGGGAACAAATGCCGTCTTCAGCATTACCCCACCCAGTGCGTGCACTAGACACTGATCCCTCTGCTTTTGTCTGTTGACTCACTCATTCATTTGGTCATCCATCATTTATTCAACAGAGATGGCGAGGCTGCTGCTGTGTAGCAGTCTTGTAGACCCTAGGGATGGTGGTAGATGGACAAGGTCCCTGCCCTACTGGATCTTTATCTGTCCAGGAGACAGACATTGAACACATACATAATTATACAAAACTTGAGTCCATTTCCTGTATTTCTAAGGCCCACTCCCTTGGGTCCAGTTTCCTGCTGGGCAGCTTGCCTCCTAGAGCGACCTTCACCCTCAGAGGGGTGGCTCTGCCTCAGTGGACACTGGTCCTGGCACTCCTCCAGCGTGCAGACGTGCACCGTGCAGGAGGAGGGCTGTGCTCCAGGCCGGACATCACCTGTGCAACCTGAGAGTCACAGCTCGGGCTCGGGCGGCTTCATGTCCTTCCATCCAGCTGGGTCACCCCTGGGCTCCGTTGGACCACCCCTGCGTGTGAGGATGCAGCCTCTCTGCAGAAGGCTGCTTTTCTCTGGGAAGTTATGTTTAAACCACACAGCCACACCTTAGGGACTGCCTGTCGAATCTGCGGCAAGGGGCTGAGGCAGCGCGCTGTGGGAAGCATTTGTAGGAAGGATGCCCGCAGAGTGGCCTTTTTAAGTGCATAGGTCGGGGGTCCCTCTGTCTTCGGCCCCTTCCACCTTTCCAGCATGCTCGCTTGCCAGAGGGTGCTCAGAAAGTGCTGCTGGCTGACTGCACCCCCTTGTCCTCAACTGGCTGCCGTGACTGGGGACAGAGGCTCTGCTGGCCACCCGGTGAGCACAGCGCTGCCAGATAGAGACAGGAGACGGAGAGGGCCGTAGCCAGCCTACCCTGGTCCTGAGCGGAAGCTCTTTGAGGAAAGAGGCGAGGTGCTGGCTGCTGCCTGTATTCTGGGGAGACGGCTGTATAGCTGGATCCCTGCTCCCTGCCTGCCCAACACTACCCTCTCCTCCTGCCGCCCACACTCTCCGCCTCTGCAGGATGCCCGAGGGGAGGCTGCTGGTGGCCTCCTCCCCACACATCAACAGTTCCTCTGCTCACCAGACTCCCCAGAAGGCCTCCACTTCCCACCAACAAGTGATTTATGGCTCCCGGGAAGCTCCTCTGTTCTCAGTTGGATAGTGCTAATTAATGCTAGATTGTGAAGAGATTAACTCACTCTCCTTCAAGTCTGTTTCAGTCAAAGCTGTTTCCCTGGAGAATTGAAGAGCCTGGAAGGCGTACTGGGAGGCCTCCTCCTGTGCACTCGCAGGTGCACAGGCTGGCCGCGTAGGAGGGGCCCTGCCCTGGCTGGAGTGAAATTCTTAGTGATTTTCAAATGAGGCCCCCCACCACTCCCTGCGTTTCCATTTTGCACGGGGCCGCAAATTAAATAGCCGGTCCTGTTCTCAGCCACTCTGGGCAGGCAGGCGAGGCCGCCACACAGGGCCCGACTACTGGACCACCCTGCCTGGAAGAACCTCCCAGGGCAGTGTGTCCAGGGGTCAAGGAGCACTCGAGAAAAGAAGAGGATGCTCAAAGTCTTTCAAGACCGATAGGCGCCTTTCCTCCCCGCCAAGACTCAAGAGAGGAATCCCAAAGGGACAGAGAATGAAGGGTGGGAGAGAAGTGCCTGACTCTGGGTGCATGGGCTTATCTTAGAGCTTTCAATGACATAAGGGTTTTACAGGCCCAGTCCCCATTCTTTATGACTGCATTGAGAAACTGTTCCTCAGAAACTCCTTGGTGAAGATTTCAGGGCTCCATCAACATCTCAGAGGTGGCAGGCAGTGTTCATACATTTTCTCAAGGATATATATACATATATATACAGAGAGAGAGAGAGAGGTCACACTGATTTATAACATCATGTAAATTTCCGGTGTACATCATTATATTTTGACTTCTGTATACACTACATCATGTTCACTACCAAAAGTTTAGTTTCCATCTGTCACCGTACAAATGTCCCTCATATATATTTTATTGAGGTTATGATAGTTTACAATCTTGTGAAATTTCACTTGTACCTTATTATTTTTCAGTCATCTTACAGGTGCGCCCTTTCACCCTTTGTGCCCACCCTCCATGCCCATTCCCCCTGGTAAGCACTAAATAGTTCTCTTTGACCATGTGTTTGTTTAACAGATATATTTTTGATTGAAAATATATAGTGCATGCGTGCGTATAATTTTTGTTAAGGTCCAACATCTTTCTCTGTTGGAGGCACTTTCCTCAGGCGCCACCTGGCCGCACCCACTGCGGTTTCCTCCCAGGACAATTCTAGGACTTCGGCCTTTGCTTCTTGTATCAGCCTGTGGTGCCGCAGACAGGCACGAGGTGTTCACTTGACAACTCTGATAATCACACACCATCAGAGATGTTGTGGTGTGGTTGAGTAAATGACCTCCAGGGCTACTGAAAACTCTGAAATTCTACACATCTACGACTTCATTAACATTTTCTTACTTTCCAGAGGAAAGAAAGGGGCACTAACATTTTGGGGCATCTACGAAGTGGCAGTTGCCTTCCCAACAATGTGAGGCACATGATTATTCACAATCAGCATTGGTGATTTAATCTTGTTTAAAAAGGGGAAAAGAAAATACCTTAAATTTACATAATTCCAAAGATGTTACCTATTCTAAAAGAGTGCAGAGTCAATGGGTTCTCAGTAAAAGCAGGAGTAGTTACTTCGGTTTTTCTAGATTTTCTGGCGTCGGGGCTGATGAACAGAGAGCATGGGAGTAGATGGGAGAGGGGCCAGGTGCTGGCTTGCAGGGCCAGTGAGCGCGAAGGGTAGGAGGCCTGCCTGCTCCGCGGGCCCCGCAGACCGGCCCTGGCAGAGGCTGGGCTTGGAGAGGCACTGATGAGGCCGGACCCATGGGGCCTGGACCCCCGGGAGGAGCCTTCCCGGGAGATGTGGACAAACAGCCTGGTGATTTGAGTTGAAAGTTTAAAATGAGAGTCCCTAAGTTTCATTTGTCAGTTTTAACTGAATTAATTCTGAGAAAATAGATATTCTTGTACACATAGAATAAATATAATGCGTGAAACATTTATTTATTTTTGGCTGCTTCTAGCTTTCTTTTGAAGGATCACTACTAACACAAAGAAGCATGTCAAACTATTTTGAATTCTTTATGGATCACTGTTAGCTCTTCAGCAGCAGAATCCAGAGAGGCGGTAAAGAGCAAGGAAGCCAGTATTTTGGACATCTCTGTTCACATCTCATCTTTCTATTTGACTCAACTTTTCCTGTCAGTTTTTATTTTCCCACATCTACACCAGTGACAGTGCTAATTGTTTCTGAATTGTAGACAGCTACGACCTAAGAGCGTTCCCTAAACACCGACATTATTGTTACCGCTTGTCAGACGAGGTTTGAGCCCCTCAGAATACGAATTGCATCATAAGCAGGCGCTCAGGCATCAGCGCAGGGCAGGGCCAGGCGGGCCCGCAGGTGGAGGGAGGCGCTCTCCTGCATGCAGGACACGGTGTGGCTTTTGGACGCTACGACAATCTTGAAGTCTCGCTCATGAAAATAACGGGCCAGGAAACATCCACCCAGAAAGCCTGGAGGGTGAGCAATTACCCTTATTCAAACTTCCTGCTGTAAACGCGTGTGCTCACAGTTCCATTTCTATTTCATGTAATGCCTCAGAGCTGAAAGGATCTTGTACAAGTGATGAGCCTGGTGAAGCTTTAAAAAAAAATCCCCTATCATATTGCCTTATCAAAATTGAGGGAAAGCATTTTCAGGGTGAAATCAGGAAGGCTACTGTAACTAAAGCGCATTGCTTTAACTACAAAAATGCAAGTTTTCCTAGGACTCGTAGACAAACATGAAATTTTGTTGGGACATAAGAGCAGCTGCTCTCCAGCTCTTTAATATGCATGCCATCCAGCCTTCCATTTGTCCATCCGTCCTGCCACTGATCCATCAGTTCATCCTTGCAGCCACCCAACCATGCATGCAATACTTCCCGAACACCAGCTCTAGAGCAGGCTGAAGAGCAAACGAATTGGCCCGATCCCTGCCCGGCGGTCTCACCATTTGGTGGAGACCATGAGAAAGGCAAGTGCAACACAGTGGAGTTAACCCTGGGGAGGGATGAGTGATGGTGTGGTGGGGGCACACGGGGTGTGATGTGTGGGAAAACCTGGCCCACTGGAGAGGGCAGGAAGACTGTCCCAGACCCAGAGAAGGGAGGACCGCCAGGAGTTGGCCAGGAATCGCAGAGGCAAGGTAGAGGGAAAGGAAGAGGGAACAGCATGGGCTAAGGCCAGGGGAGGGCGTGTCCCATTTGGGCAACTGAAAGCGGCCGTGGATGCCCTCCAGGTCACTGCTCTGTCCTCTTCTTTCAGCGACAGACAGTGAGTTATTTCCTAAACTGCATTCTGATGAAATCAAGAACTCTTTCTCCTCTTCTGCCAAGGGGCTACCGTGCTGGGTTCTCCCTCAGCTTCTTGTCCTCATTTCTTTGCTTTCATCAGCTCAAAGACGTCTGGGAAGCAGTACTTTCAGCTCACCCTGTGATCCCCACCCTAGCTATTCTTCTGGTATCTGGAGTCCACTCCAGAGCAGTGAGTTGGCCCCTGAAATACTCACACTGTGACAGGAGGTGAGCTCCCCACGAGGTGCACAGATGTATCTCAATCACACCAATTCCGCTTAACAATACAACCAAAATGAGAACATAATAAACAATTACTGTAAGACACACTACTAGAATCCCAAGCCATGTCAGCCAAATAAAAGACATTAATTAGACAGTGAAGATACCCTCTAAGTAAAGGAAGTCGAAGGAGATAAACCATTTATTGGCACTGGGATCAACAGATTCTAAATTAGCTGCAAAACCCCGGCAAAAAGGACCTAAACATCACTGCTGTCATTATTTGTCCTCGAGGGGCCCTCAGAGGGCTTGCTGCTCTCTGGGACTGTTACTGTGGGTAGTTGAGACGTCTCCGGCGTGGGTGGCGGAGGCCGCGGCAGGGGGCCTCCTGAGGCTAGATGGCTGTCTGACAGGGAAGGTGAGGCGAAGGCACGCAGAAGCCAGGCGAAGGGCCTGCAGCTCCTCAGGGCCTGCGACCCCTGTCCCGCCCCACAGTCCGCTCTTTCCTCCCTGCCTCTCTTTGAAGTCTTGAGCCCAGAGACAGAAGAGGGGATGGGTGCTGGGAGGCAGCTGTGTGCCGCCTTCGCTTGAGCTCCCAGCAGCCGGGAGCCTAGGACAGAGGCTGGAGACAAAGGTGGTCAGGTCCTCTATTCATCCTCCGTACCAGAAATCTAATAGTGTTGTTGCACAACGTGAGCGTGGAGTTAGGCTCAGAAAGAGGGCAGGCTGCTCTGAGGCAGTAAGCGCCATTATTGCCATTGCAGCATGTCGCGCGCTATACACATTGTGGCCCACTTGTGCACGGGCCCCTCCAGGTGGGAAAGAGTTCACAACGATTAAAGTGATGTTCTCCGAGTCTGCATGTCTGCCAAGAACCCATGGTTCACTGTCTGGTTAATGGCACACATTTTTATCTTCTTATTGCTAAGACTACACTTTTAAAATCAGTCAGCTTTACTGAGGTATAACTAACTCAGAATAAAACCCACACATTTCCCATGTACAGGTCGGTGACTTTGATGAGGCAGACACCATGCAACCACCACCCAACAATGACACACAACATCCCTGTCGTTGCCAGAAGGTCCTTGTGCCCCTTTGTCATCAACCTGCCTGCCGGGCCCGTTCGGATGGCTGGGATGGATCCCGCCTGCCCGGCTCTCGTGGGAATGGTCACCACAGGCGTCCTGGGATCCGCTGCCTTTCAGTGGACACAACAGCTGCGGCGCCCGCTCTGTGAACGTCCACACTTTGCTCCTCTGTATTGCTGAATAGTATTCCAGGTACTGCTTCAGCACGATGTTCATCCATTCACTCATCTGATTTCTTTGTGCTAAAATTACATTTAAAAAATGGTTTTTGGTAGTTTCCTGGACCTGGGCAGTCCTGACCTCACATTTGATGTAGGCGACTAAAATATCAAGGTTCCAAAAGGGACTTTTCCCCGGCAAGTCTGTCTAGACGCTCCCAGAGGAGGACCGTGGGCTCAGCCAGCTTCACGTCTGGCCACCACAGCAGTTTTCAAGGCAGCAACCTGGACACGCTTCTGAATGCTTCCATGGAGCTGTCCCCTTTGACAGGCTCCCTGTGAGCCCCTCCCCAGCCCCCTGCTGGGGGTCGCCACAGAGATGCTACAAGTAAGTTCTGAGGATCCGCAAATAAACCCGCAGCCCCTTCCCACACCAGCGGCGAGCATGGCCAGAAGGGAAGGGTCGAGGGGGAGAAAAACGATGGCATTTGCCCAGAGCTAACCCCAGTGGACGCTTTTCAAAAAGTCACTTCAGAAAGATTGATGGCGTGTTGAAAACAGCAGCCTGTTTGTCATTATAAATAATCACCCTCACCAAAATTCCTCTGTCCTAAGATGTGTTTATGCTCACATACAGATTCGGCTCAGAGGACAAACAAACACAGCGCATGCGTGTGGCCTCGACTTCTGAGGACGCTGTGGTTCCTCCTCCCAGCCTGGGAGTGAACGTGTGTGTCCAGGGAGGTGGGGCGCAGGGCTAGGTGGTGGGCGTGGTTTCTCTCGTCCCCCCTGGCAAACTGCTGCAAGGAGCCACCTCTCCACTCAGAGGTTCCCCCTCTGTTCGGGAAAGCCGCAGCCTTTTATGCCCTCATCTGAGGAAAAGCAGGGCGTGCCTAAGAGAATCTTCCCTGGATTTCGTCAGGCGTCTGCACTGTGGGAGCAGAGCCCTCAGGTGTGTTGCTGAAGGCAGATGTCCGGTCTCTTAGCTTACTGAGGGTATTTGTGGAGGTGTACCCAGCTCCAGGCCCAGGCCGTGTTCGTACACACATTCTTGTTTACTCCTCCAAAAGCCATGAGGCAGGCACTTACTATTCCCCATTTAACTTGCTGAGCCTATAGAGGCTCAGAGAGGTTGAGTGACTTGCCTGAGGTCACACAGACAGAGGTAGGAGAGCTGGGGTACAAATCTAGATCTGCTCCACTTTCTACCATTCTACCCAGCCTTGGGAACCGGGCTCTCGGGAGCCACAGAGAGAGGCTAGAGATGGCTGGAAGAGGAGAGAGTGAGAAGGCAAGTCAGTAGAGGAGGCCGGGGTCAGTGCAATGTGGCCTTGGTTTCACCTAACTTCTGAGGACCCGTGAGAGTTGGATAATTCTTTACAAGGCCAAGCGAACCACAAGGAGCCAGGCGACGGCAGGAGTCAGCGTCCTCCGTGGCAGCCTCACTTCGTGGGTCCGTCCCGCCCCCACACCCAGGGCGTTTGAAGATTCCTGGAGCCATTTGGTTCCAGTAGGTTCCTGTTGTCCCCTCTCCGCTTTCAACATCACGCCAGCTCCACGGACGCTTAACTCCCAGGCACACCCGTGGCCGTTTGGATGCCCACGAAGAGTTCCTGCCCTGAGAAGTGTGAGGGCAGGGCGCGGAGAAAATCCAACAGCAGCAACAGCGATGTCTGCACGCGGCCAGTCTCTTAAGGCGGAGCGGCAGGATTTTGTTCGTGTGTGTGTGTGTTCATGGGCACACGGGCTGGGCCCTGCTCCCGATCCTGGCATCAGAGCATCCCCTCCTGCTGCCGCACGAGTCTTTCATGGAGCAGGTGACCCGGATGTTGCAGGCTATAAATAACCATTAAATGTCCCTTTCGGAGAGGCCCTTTTTTCCCTTGAATTCGAGTCTCAGCATGAAGCAAGTAACTTGTAAATTTGGATCCTTTCTGTCAAACTCAGGGTCTTGTTCTACCGGTTTGAAAGAGGATTCATTCTGCTGTTCCCTTCTCAAGTAGAGTATAGGAAAGCCTGGAGGAAGGCGAGCTTAGCAGAGGCACCTTGCAGCTCCCCCCGAGAACACCCGCTGGAGAAACGAAGAGCATTGGTATCGCTCCGCGCGTGGGGATCGTTGAGGTTGGGATAAAACCTCTTATTCATGGTGTAATTTGTTCTTCACGTGGTTAAATTACACATTAATACGACAGGGGTTATGTTGTAATTACACCACACTCCTCCCCCCGCCCTGTGCCTTTCTTCAAGAGGAGGGAGCTGAGTCAGTGCGGAGCCCTGAATACCCTTTTTCAAGAGACGCTGAAAGCAGTGGCACTGCCCCAGCGGAGGCAGGCAGCGACTAGTCTGAACCGTCCAGAATCAACACGAGGAGTCGCACGGGGTGGGAGTGCTGGCTCCCGGGCTCAGCCCGATTGCTGAACGCGGTTTTCGGAGCAAAGACCCAGGCGTCTCTTCCTTGGCTGCGCATGGAGTGACAGCACTGCTGGCGTCCGCTCCCGGCTGGGGCGACAGGTCGGTGCACCGAGACGCCTCCTTTCTTAGCGGTTGCGCACGCTGTGCCGGGCAGCATGTCCCAGGCTGAGCGGGGACCGGGCTGGACACCATGCGGCCCGCCGGGTCCTGGGCTGAGCACGGGCAGCGCCAGCTGTGTCCACCACAGGGGCACTGTTTCTCGTCTGCAGGACAGCCGCGCGAAGATTAGTGACACCCTGAGACGGGTGGTCTTGCACGAGCCCCTTCAGCTCACTGTGCCTCAGTCCTCTTACGTCTAAACAGGGACACAGGGGTCCCTGCCTGCCCGTTTCTCAGAGGGTCTGATGAGAGGAATGTACGTGAAAGTCTGGAATGTGAAAGCTCGACGTAGGCTGGTCACTCGGGAGTGTGCACGGCAGTTGCTGCCCAGCTTGCCCGCGAACACGCCTCTGCTCCGCAGGAACGGCATTTTCTTTGAGAAAATTTAAAATAGTGTGAGCGTTTCTGCAAGGATGGTGGCTGGGGCCCACACATGCCTTTGGCCTGGAGTGGCCATTACTCTCGGCGGAGGAGCGGCGGGGGCTCCTGGGTCGTGAGGGCTCCTTCGCCAGGAGCCGCTCTGGTGCTGGATCCGGGCAGACCTTCAGACGCATGTGCTCCGCTCAGCGCTGGGGCAGAGGCTCACAGCTGGTTGCCCTCCCAGAGCACAGTCTGGTGCAGGCACTGGTCCAGTCGCTACATCAGCCTGGGAGGGCGGTCCTGCTAGTGTTCCCACCGAGCAGATGAGGCAGAGGTGGTACCCAGCAGGCGGCGGACCTTGCTGAGGTCGCAGATCAGGATGAGTGGCCAAGCCAGACACCTGACTGCAGGGGCCAAGCTCTTAACCCCCAGGCCAGAGTCATGGTCCCCACCCTCGAGGAGCCAATGTCTAGGGAAGCCTCCAAGCCCTCCGGTATGAGCAGAGGGGCCCCGTGTCCCCGCTTATCCCAAGCTCTGACGTTTCCTGTCATAGAAGGAAGCGAGGGTTTCCAGGACCACCATGTGATGCCAATTTGGTGACTTCAGTAAACTGTCCTGTGCTTTCTGGTTTGCATTAGTACAGTTTGGAGCTTCCCGCCCCTGGAATCTCCTAGGGAGCAGTGGTCCCCGCAGTGCTGCCTGTTTGTGAGGCAGCCTCACCCTCTGTGTCCGGGAATGGGGGTCCTAACGGGGGACAAATGCCTGTGTGGCCAAAGGTGGCATTGTGGCTGAGTCCGCCTGTGGCCTCCCTGCAGCTCTCCTGCTCTAATGCAGCACTCTGCTCATTCCAGGAGCTGACAAGGACCATCACCCCAGTGAGCCCAGTGCCGCAGCGTGTGAAGACACCATTTACTGGGTGTTCCATGGATGGATTTCATGCCTCTAGCGGTTTGAATGCCAGTTATTCCCATGCCAAGAGCCCTAAGATGATGCCAAAGTATTCGGAACTAGAGTATGCTGATATTAAAATTAAAGAAATACATTTAAAGCCTAGAAACCTTTTAATTAGAAAGAAATATTAAATTCTTAAAAGGGGAAAATGTCTGAGTTTTAAGTGGAGCTAATTAGAGGTCTGGGTAGAATGAACACAATTGGTTTATCTGGACTGCCAGTGTTTTAAATGTCAAACACCAAGAAAGCCAGGAAAAAGGATTGGAAGTGACCTAAAAATTACTTAATAAAATTGAGATATATTTATTTTAAAACACCATGAATCCAAAATGAATAAACAAAACTTGCTTTGGATTTGGAATAAATAAATTTGGGATACAACGGAATACTATTCAGCTTTAAAAAGGAAGGAGGGGCTGGCCTGGAGGTGCAGCAGTTAAGTTCTCACATTCCGTTTCGGCGGCTTGGGGTTCGCCGCTTGGGATCCTGGGTGCGGACATGGCACTGCTTGGCAAGCCATGCTGTGGCAGGCGTCCCACATATAAAGTAGAGGAAGATGGGCACAGATGTTAGCTCAGGGCCAGTCTTCCTCAGCAAAAAGAGGAGGATTGGCAGCAGACGTTAGCGCAGGGCTAATCTTCCTCAAAAAACAAAACAAAACACATCCTTAAAACAAAATAAATAAAAAGGAAGGAAATTCTGACACACGCTACAATATGGATAAGCTTTGAGGACATTACTCTAAGCGACGTAAGCCAGTCACAAAAGGACAAATACTGTATGATTCCACTTACATAAGGTCCCTAGAGAAGTCAAATGCATAGAGACAGAAAGTAGCCTCTTTCCAGGGGCTAGGGGAAGAGGGGATGGAAGTCAGTGTATAACGGGGACCGTTTCACTTGGGGAAGATAAAAGAGTTCTGGAGAGGGAGGTGGCAACGGTTGCACAACAGAGTGAACTCACTTAATGTCACTGAACCGTGCACTCAAAACGGGTTAAAATGGTGAACGTTTTATTATGTACATTTTATAGCAATAAAAAATGCCATAGATCCCACAGGAAGATAGGCTAATTTAACTTTATTAATACGTGGTCATTCTATTCCTTCAACCTGGGTTGGCTTGCACCCAAAGCTGGGTAGGATGAAGAAATGACTATGTATGTATTGACAATATTGAGGGAGGACTGTCGTTATGTCCAGGACCTCAGACCCCAACGCCCTCACAGCCTGAGAGTGGGGCCAGGCCTCGGATACTCAGTGCCCAGGCTACGTGGTGGGAATCACACAGCAAGGGCTGGTGGATGGCAGCAGGTCCCGGCCCCAGGACCCGGCTTCTCTTCTGATTTTTGATGTTAATTTCTGCTCGAATGGGAATGATTCGGTTTTAGCTAGGAATTCATTTATTTCCTGGAATTATCTCTTCTAGGGCCCACATGTTTCCCGTGAAGAGTCTTCTTCACACTGGCTTTGGCATTTCTTTGGGTCCTTCACCCTCACTCAGAAAAGCACACCATCTGTTTTCAGCCTGCATAGCATGTCCACCACAGGACTAGAAGTGTCCAACTCTATAGAATCTTTCTTTTGGAAAACAGATCAAAACTGGAAGAAGTTTTACAACATGGGTGCTTGACAGCTATAAAAATGTCCACATTTTTAATAATGCTCTTTAACTAAATAGTTGTGTAATTTAAGTTGGAGGTTTGTGCTGTTGGCAATAAATGATTCAAAAGGGAGGAAGACCAAATGTTTTCACTGTGCTGGCAGAGGGCAGTGGGTTTTCAAAGGTGCCCTCCTTGGCTCAGCCTTGTAGCTTTAAAGGGGTGTAACAAAACAATCGCAGGGGACCTGCCCCAGTTCAAACATGCATTCCCGTTTTTACGGCAAAGCGGCAGCGGTTTACTCAGAGGAGTGATTCTCAGAGGCAGAGCGGCCAGGGCTTCCAGCCTACACTGTCTCCTTGATCAGACGGAAACTTCAGACCCGCAATCTCATTTTCTCTCGTGCCTCGTGAGCTCCTGATTACTGCTCAGGATGTTTCCCTGTGCTTTAGTTGGAAGCCTTCCTGTGCAAATGGACTATTTCTTTGGAAAACTGTAAGCCCCTCAGCAGATAGTCAGAAAGAAACATTCATGGGGGCAGAGGGACCGAGGGAAATACAAAGTGAGTAGGCAGTGTGCCTGTGGGATCAGAGGAGAGAAGACTGATATGAGGTGCCAGGAGCCAAGCGCACGAGTGGTCCTGAAACCCAACAACCTGGGAGCTTTGTCAAACAGAGGGTCTTGGGATCCTGGCTCAGTAACTCGGGTGAGCAGGTCTGCAGATCAGTCTGTTGATGAAGCTCTGTGAGGTAAGTTGCTCTCCTGCCTGACCAGCTAAGGCCCCTCTAAGGGGGCACAGGCCAGGCCCACGTAGAGTTAACGAAAGGAACAGAGACTTGTTATGGGTAACGAGGGCTGTGCGGATAGGCGTGTTTAATGCCGAGCCTTCTGGGAAAGGCATAGGGAAAGGAGAGGGGTACAGCCTAGAAGATCTTGCCTGACTAGGGTCACGGGGCAAGTATGACTTGAGGAGGGTTTGGAAGAGGAGAGGGGTGAGAGTTGTGGATAAAAGCTTAAAAGGCGACGGCAGGAAGATTTTCTGGAAGGAGTGGAGAATATGGACTTGAATATAAGTAAAACAAATAATATTACCTCTTGTCAGATGGATTCGGGGCTTACTTAGCTTCTAGTGCATGGAGTGGAGAGGAGGCAAGGAGCTGGGGCTATAGGGATAGCTGAAGGGGACTAGAGGGGGGACCACAGCAAGGGGACAGCCAGGTGACGAGGGCTGCAGGCTTAGCAGACCTTACTTTCTAATGAGGATGTTGACCCTATCCTATCCTTCCATCTGACCCTTCCTCTAAATAAGAGACAGTTCAACCGAACTGAGGATTCCCGGCCTACACGGCGTTTCCTGCTCCATTTCTCTGCAGTGTTACTGGAAGCACTAGTCCTTCAGGTGTGAAGGAATCAGCCATTTTGGAGGACTGCCAAATGCTTGGTGTATTTGAGGACACAGCAGCCCCCTCCTTCTGGCAGGCCTCTATACCCTGGTAAAATGCTCCTGGAGTGTGTTCCGGCTGTGAGGAGCAGTCAAGGTACAAAATGAACCCAATATTCTCAGCTTTGAAATTTTGAGGTCTTGAAATTCCCTTTCTCCCCTCACTTTATTGCAGGTTTTCGGATATGCTCCAAAGTAACTTCAGTACCTGCAGGGAAGGGCAGCTCTATGTGAAGGGGGCAGGAGGAGGATCTTCTGGTGACACTGGCCCAAGTGTATTCAGCAGGCCCAGGGCCTCGCACACAGCAGGGGATCGGTAAAAACTTGTTGACCTGAATTGTGTACAAAGATGACCTCCCAGGGACTAGTGTCAGGAATAGCCTGAGCACCAAACAATCCTCCAAATCTGGCTCTCTGGTCAAAGGACACAGAAACACTAACTTGAGGAGATGTCTGCACCGCCATGTTCATAACAGGATTATATACAACAGCGCAGACACGGAAACAACCTAAGTGTCCATCAGTGCATCAGTGGATAAAGAAGTTGTAGTATATATACACAAGGGAATATTATTCAGCTATAAAAAAAAAGGAAATCCTGCCATTTGCAACACGAAGCTTAAAGGCATTATGCTAAGTGAAATAAGTCAGACAGAGAACGACAAATACCATATGATCTCACTTATATGTTGAATCTAAAAACAAACAAACTGAACTCATGATACGGAGAACAGATTGGTGGTTGCCAGAGGTGGGGGTGGGGGGGTGAAATGGGTGAAGGTGGTCAAAAGGTATAAAACTTTCAGTTATAAAATAAATACGTTCTGGGGATGTAATGGTTAGTAATGGTTGTTTGTGGGTGGCAGAATTAGACATTTTTTTCTGCTTTCTTCTTCATACTTTTCTGTATTACTTGATTTTTTTAAAGCATGTTATTTTTTTTAAAAAAATAATTATTCTGAAGGAAAAAGCAATGGCATTGATATTTCCACATGCACAGGAGCTATCTAATGATTTTGCTTTTCAGTTAGTGGGAGACTATAGCTATCGTAGGCCCAGTCATGCCATCCTTACAATTAGTCCTGTTTGGCCAGGGGCATGCGGCCCGTCAGTTCAGAATGATATTGCCTGGTGCATCCAATTACTTTCCATGAACATCATCTTCCTGCTGCCATCACTCCCCAGAAACCAGCCTCAACACAAGTGCACGCCTCGTGTGAACTTTACCATGAAAACATCGTTTTTCTAACAATTGTGATGAGATTCCTACTCTTGCCCATAAAAAAAGAATCATTTGAGTTTCGAGGACTGGTTTGGGGCTGCAGGAACTAATCACACCAACCATACACGCTCTTGGTGATGTCCACGCCCACCCCCTGCCCTGTATGCCATATGGAAAACAGATGTGCTCATTTCTTCCAAAACTCCCAAGAGTGACTCAGTTGAAATAATGACGGACACAGCCTATGATTTATCACTGGCTAGGTCTGCTGCCTTAGAAGCAGATATGACTGGAAAATGACCTCAGAAAAATATGTCCCTTCCAAATTAAGATTCTGTGAGCTCACTGAGGCCAATGCCCTCATTTCCTGAGGTTTTTGAACAAACTAGTATATCTGGGAGCGGGTGGAATTCATCTCTTTGGAACTGCGGAGATTAGGTGTAGTAAACTGGACAAATCAATTCACTGGATGGTCGTATTCATTGAGCTCTGCCTGGGCCATGATGCCATGGGGAGGCAGTACTTATGACATGATTTCTGACCATAGGATGGAGCTTCTTAGCTGGGGAACGGAATAAAACACGCACAGGGAAATACCCAACCCTACAAGGCAGAGCAGACAATAGCCTTCTAAGGTGTGTATTTCTTTTCTAAGGGCCAAAGTCAATTGAGAGCAGGTGAGCCCAGCAAGGGCCAGATTAATCAGGGAAGACCTAGGGACCGTTTATTCTTTCATGTTCCAACGCAATGTGATTGAAAGGTAGGAGTGTGTGACTTCACACTGCATGCCACCAGGGCTCTGTGTCTATGTGTCTAATGTGACATGCTGCCATGTGCCCTCATG